ATTAACCGGAGGTTAAGTGAGACCAAGCCTTGAAGTTTTCCTGGACTTCTAAAATAGAATGATGACGAGAGGCCTTAGAATGATACAGAATAGGAATGGAGCCAGAGTGGAGAATTAAACTAGATTTAAGTTTATTTATATATAGGTCTCCCCTGAGATGCTTTTTATTGTTCCTGTCTGTTATTAGTGGGCCTTTTGTTAAAAAGGAAATAAAAAAACAATAATTTTCCCTCTTTGGAGAAAGTGCTTTAATGAATAGTAAGAGATTAGATGATTGCATTTTGCATTTATAAATTTCCCCCAAGTGATTTTACTGTGTGTATGGAGGAAATGCAGGGCCGACCAGAGAATGTCTGAGGGCAGAGTTGCCCAGAGAACCAGTGAGAAAGACTTAAGGCAGGAAAATGTGGGGATTTTCTTATAGGGCAAGAACATTTAAAGATTTATTTTAGGTGGCACACACTTTGTAATTTATTAATTTTTTAATGGCCAAAGTAATCGTTTCTGTGTTGCTGACGCAGGCTCTTGGGAGCATGGAATGTTGCCCTTGATTATAAAGTTGCCTTTTCAGAATGGCTGATCGCTTAGGAAAGATCAGATGTGGGGCAAGTAGATTTCAAGTCAGAACGGTTCCGTGTTGTGATGTCAGACTGGAGAATGGGTATTCACCATGAAATGAAGGATTCATCAAGGAATCTGGGAGAGAAACATTCTCACTGTTGGAACTTTAAAAGCCTTTTTCACATCCTGCTTCCCTTTTCATTGTGCTGGAGCCACAGGTCAGGTGTTGCCTGAGGCAGCCTTACAAATTGGCACCTGCCTTTGTGCCTTAGACCTGAAGAAAGGAGTTGGGAAAAAGAAGGCGGGGGAAACGTAAGAAGTTTTTTTCTCCAACCTTTTGCAACATTAGCTCTCCTTGGGAATTGGGCTTTGATGCCTGGGGTGTGAGAGGCCAGGGGCACGCCCTGACTCCAGAGAGTGATTTGCTGCAGGGAGATGCCTGAGCAGGTGCCAGGAGAGCCAGGGACATCCACATCTCCTCGTTCCCACCATCTTGACGTTGGTAGTGCGGGTGACATCTCCTCGGACTTTCGTGGTTTTTCCACCATTTATTCCTAAGCTAGCCCCTGGCCCCACAGGTTTTCTTTCTTCCTTGGCTTTTCCTTCTCCCTTTTCTCAGATAATCAGAAAACTGTGACCTCTTTCATGGTCCAATCTTACCTCTAACATGCATAGATTACTTGACATTGTCTGATTTCAGGTAGGAAAAATATATCTTCCTGACCCATTTTTCCTTTGGTGTTTCACAGTGCAGCTCTGCTTTTTCCTTAGATTTGTTCTTTTTTGTATGTTTGCTCACTTGTGTTTTGATCAGCCCATTTTTTCTTCTCAGGCATCAGGAATGTTTTCAAACATCTTTTTAAGCATGTTGCACCCCTTACTAGACACGTGTTCTCACACAGATACAGGGTTTATTGTCCTGATTTCAGGACAGGAGGGAGCTTTCCTTCTTGGGAAAACCCAGCTGCTGCTTCCCGTGGCCTTACTCTTCGGTGTCACAGAGAGGTTTCTAATTTCACATCACATCTTCCCGTGGCCTTCTGATCAACTTGAAGCCACGTAAGCATCAGAGAAGCTCAGAGCTTTCTCTCCTTTTTTAAAAATTTTCATATTCCAATACAAAATCATCAGCTACTTTTCCCTTAGCTCTGTTGTATTGTTCCCAACAAATTATAGATCTTTGAAAATACCAAAAGCTTGGCTTTGGTTTCTAATATATATCTCCAAGAAATGAGTTCGTTTTCCATGTAGAAGCCTGACAGTGTATCCCAAAGCCTCTTGTTAATCTTTTTAATTGTGTGTTGTTGTTGTTTCTGTGTGACTTGGCAGAGTCAAATCAGTGTCACCAGAACATGCCTTAGGCCCAACTGACAGCCAGAGATTTTGCTGAGTGTTCTCTAGACCCTGGTTCCTGGCCCCTGGGTGCTTACTCTCTGAAATAGGCAACATTGATACAGGCAGATAGAAGAGCATGAAGAAAATCAGAACAGCATTGAGAAAGTGCAGACAGTGTGGAGCTGTATGGAATTCACTCCCTGTCTGCCCTCCAGTTAAAGAATCTTCCATGGGAAGTGTGGTATTTGGGCTTTAAATGAAGAGGTGATATTCAAGGAGTCGATGTTCCCAGCTTAGCAATTGTCAAGGTAGTTGCAGGGTATACCTGGATTGATCAGATGGATGGGGCATTGAGCAGCTTTACCTGAGAGGAACCAGGCTGACCAAGGAGAGGAATATGGGAAAGTGAAGTCATTACAAAGTTTTGAGAAGGGTGAGGATATGGGGCCTAATTCACAGGACAGCTAAGACCAAAGATGGCCATAGAGTTTTGCAAACAACAAATAGAAAGGAAATTTAGGCAAAATGGCTAAGTAATGAAGGAGATGTTAAACCATACCAGTCCCTACCCCCACACCCCACCCCCAACAGAAAACCCACAAAACCATACACCATGAATTTAAGGAGAAGAAAAGGGTAACTCAGAACCGCAGAATGATGGTCTCACGTATGGAATACTTACTGCTACTACTGTTGAAGGAAATGCTCCAAAAACATTTTTGGAGTACAGTTGTAGTGGTTATCCCTGGCTGGTGAAGATTAAGCAATTTAAATTTTTAATGCTTTTCTGTATTGTCTGTGATGAGCAGTTAATATTTTATAATCAAGGGGGAGAAAACGTTTTAAAGGAAAACTCTTACCAGCAAAAAAATAGACTGAAGTTTGGCTCTTGGATGTGAAGATTTGGGAGAAGAGGTTAAAAGTAAACACTAATAGATTTAGTAAAAAGCAAGATTTGTGGGAGGAAGAATTGTATCAGCCTAAAAAATTACTCTAAAGAGATCTGTTTAGAAAGCCAGTAATATGGCAGTGTTTCTTTTACTATATAGAGGGAGTTGTGCATGAAGAAGATTTCACTGATCTTCATTTGAATTGGTTCTTTGGCATCTAATTTGAATATCTCCTGAACAGAGTCTGCCCTGTGAGTAAAGGGCTAACAGCACTTACAGGAAGGTCTGGAGGCAAATGAGGCAAAGGAAGTAAAAATAGTGAAACAGCTGGGTGAGGGTCTTGCCCACCCACATTAACTGATCATAAGGGAAGGACTGGATGCTGCGCATGGGTCCTGTCATTCTACTGTACTTTTCGCCCTTGAAAAAGTGTGTGTGTGTGTGTGTGTGTGTGTGTGTGTGTGTGTGTAGGGGTGTGGGGGGAATTGAGAGTCATGGGTCCTGTCATTCTACTGTACTTTTCGCCCTTGAAAAAGTGTGTGTGTGTGTGTGTGTGTGTGTGTGTAGGGGGGTGGGGGGAATTGAGAGTCCTTTCCTGCTTTGGACCTATCTCTGGTCTGCCTCCAAGGATGTCCCCTGAGCAAGCCATTAGTGTGGCCCTTAATAAATGTGCAGTTGATAGATTAATAATCATTCTGGGCATCCGTTTGTACATATATATAAAAGAGGAATTTGGGTGTGGTGGATTTTGTGGTTCTTCTTTTCACTTAGGCATTTAACAGTTTGGGGGTAGACAAGTTACAGAAGTGTGGGTCAATTGGCAGTACATGATGTACATCTGCTCCGCCCCCTTTTTTTTGAATATCTATACAGAATGGACAGAGGTATCTTAACACAATCATGGGTAAGTTGACTGAGGAAGAACGAGCATGACAGAATCCAGATTCTAAGCATTTGTTCTAGTTATAGGATGGGCCAAGCTAGGATGAAGTTTACTAGGATGAAACAAAGCCCTGCTTATGTTACTTACTTAAGGCAACTAATTAACTTACAGTATCCCTAGGTTAATGGCAATTTGTATTAAAAAGAGTAGGGGTTTTATTACCTACAGTCTCAGTGTGAGTCAGGAGTGTAATGATGGTGTCAGAAAGCCAAGGCTATAGTAACAGATGTGTAGTGTTAGGAACTTTGACAGAATGGAGCCTAGCTTCAGGCAAAAATCCCCGAGATCCAGCATCATTCAACCTTACTAAATGTCACTGGGCTGGGCTAGATATGTTGAATCTGGATGGAGTCGTTCTTTTCTTTCAAGAATCTCTCAATTTGGTGGAAACTTTTAGGTATTAGAAATCTGTGAAAGAAATGGGATTAAATTATTAGGTGTTGGAAAGGGGTGACTTCCTTCCCATTTAGCCTGCCTAAGACACAGTATATGTCTTGTGGTTTTCATTAGAATGCTGTGTTTCTGGGCACTCACCAGTTCTCAGGGTCTCCCCATGCATTATTTTGGCACCAGAAATTATTTGAAGACTCTGCTCTAGTTGCTAATTGCTCTACACACAGCTCTTAAATGGGTAGGAATTATTGTAAATATTTTAAGGCTTTAGAACAAGCATTTATCAATGTTTTATACCCTGGGGGAGAAGGGCTAAGTATGTGAATAAATTAGGGGATCCATGAACCCCTTGAAAAGGTATATAATTTTTTACGTATGTGTAATTTTTTCTGGGAAAGAGTCCAACACTTTCATCAGAGTCTCAAACAAGACAAAAAAACAAACCTCTCCCCCTGCCACCTATATAATTTGTCTACTTCCTAGTGTGTAAACAGAGGGGTACCTTAATTGTTGCCCATCTTCTGAGAACAGATACTCTGAAATGCCAGTGAGTGACTTGCCATCAGTAGGGATTTAAAAGGATGTTGCACGCAGAGTTCCAAAAGTGTTTAAATCGAAATCTTATCATTGGAATAAATGAGAACTGTCCCCTTCTTGCTCACACCACACAATAAGATTAGTTTTATTTTTAAAAACAAAATTCAGATTTATTACTTGCAGAATTAGGGTTATTTTTTTTTTCTGTTCCCCTTTCAACTTGTGAGTACAAACTTGGTCTCCTCCAGGAATATTTTGTTCTGAGGTAAGTTCCAGAAAAGCTTGATCTTCTCAGTGGGATATGTGTTTCATGTGGTTTTTCTTCCTTTTCAAACGCACAGGGCGCCAAAGCATGCTTTCTGCGGGACATTCCTTTTTCGGCCATCTACTTCCCGTGCTATGCTCATGTGAAGGCTTCCTTTGCAAGTGAAAGTGGGCAGATTAGCCCCGGAAGCCTGCTCTTGGCCGGTGCCATAGCTGGTGAGTGGCCCCCACAGAGTTCTGTTCTCCCCCGGCCCCTCCCGTGTCACTGCCCAGGAATTTTTTGCTTACAGTTCTTGAGAGGGGACTTAGGAGGCGGCCCTAGATTGCTTTGAATAGATATGAAAAGAAAGGAGAAGAAATTAATCTTCTGGCAGATTAGATTAGGCAAGCTTAATTTCTTAACTCCAGAAAAGGCTCGTTAAAATATGGTGCATTTTGTGGTATTGTTAAAGAAATAAAAAAATTTTTTTAATTAAAAAGTTACTAAAAACTGCTTACATTCTGGACAAGCATTTATGTACTTAATCGGTTAGACGCCTTTAAGCACGAGTATTCACATTTTTAAAACCTTTCAGCTGAACCGTTATCACTGTTCTGCTGTGAAGTGAAACTGTGAAACAATATAGAACTTCTAATTCATTTATTTGAGAGAGAGAGCGCACAAGCGGGGTGGAGGGGCAGAGGGAGAGGGAGCCCGATGCAGGACTCGATCCCAGAACTCTGGGATCATGACCTGAGCCGAAGGCAGATGCCTAACCAACAGAGCCTCTCAGGTGCCCCAGCAGTAGTTATTATTTAGATAAAAGTAACACAGCAGAATCAGAAAGACTCAGCCTGAGGAGATACCTGATCCCTCATAGCTGTGTTACAGGAACAAGATATGTTAATTGAGCCCCAGAGGGAAATGACTCTTGTTTTCAGTGCTACAGTGAATATGTCAATAGAAAAAAATATATATGAGGAGCGGAGAGGTTGGCTTCTACATCCCAGTGTAAATTCCCAGAGGAAATTTGATTATGGCCACAGCAGGAATCCATTCGATCTTTGATGCTTCTTGTTCAGAGACCCTAAAGGCTCAAACAATCTGGATTCACTCTCCAGGTGGTGACAAACATTTAATGGGTTAACAAACCCTAAGGCAGTCGTGGGATGCCTGGGTTCAAATGTTTTTGATACAGGTGTTGTCCTCCAGAGAGAGGTGGCTTGAGTCTCAGGAGAACAACCCCCTGCTCTGAGAAGTTGTTTGCTGTTTTGTGGGCCCGCCTGTAGCCTGAGGAGTTCCTGAAGGCAGGAACCGAGGAGCTCCTCTTTAATTCTTTGTTAATCCCCTTTTATCAAAGGCAGTGATGTTGGTAAATGGGGCAGGGTTGTCCTTTCCCCGGCTGCTCAGGGACCTTCATCGTAGGAGGCCACTCTGCCTCTATCAGGACATCATGATTTTGAGACTAGACTATAGAATTCCCAGTTTTAATCCCAGTGTAGCCATTGATTAACTGTGTCCTTTTGTATGTCCTTTACATGTGCATAAATGAGTATTTTTTAAACCAAAAGGTTATAATACAATGCATTTTGTGCATTGTACAATATAAATTACTTCCTGGAAATGAGGTAGCCTACTGGGGAGAACTGCCGTACCACTCGAGAGTGTGTTCCACAGACCACTTACATAACCTCTCCCAAGCCTCGGCGGCTGTGGCTATGAACGGAGACAATAATGGTACCAACTCCAGAGTGTGCCTGTGAGGTGCAAGTAAGCACAGCTGTGTGAAGGGCTGAGCATCCTGCCCGGCATACAGTAAATACTCAGTAAATGTTAGCCAGTATGACACTGACTCTGAGAATCTGTCTGTAACCTACCCCAGAAATCAGTTGTAAAAACAGAAGATATGTATGAGAGCTCAAAGTCTAGGACTCTCTCCAAGCTGTGTTTTCCTCCCACCACAAAAATAGCATCTTTAACTCTTCCCTTAGAGCAAGATAGCCACCCAGAAGGGATTTCATCTCTGGGTAGGAATTTCCTAAGTAAACCATGCTACCAGAGCTGTAGTAATTACTAGTGGATTTTTTTTTCTCTTTTAAGGTTTATTTTCTTCTATTATTTTTATGACTAGGAAAATACTAATGCTGATTGTAAAATATTTGGAAAGTAACCGAAAGGGTAATTAAGAAAACATTATCTATTATTCCATGACTGTAAGATAATCCCTATTTAACATTTCTGCTCATTTGTTTCTCCTTGCATAGTTTTTAACAGAGTTATGATCCCACTGTGGAGATGGGGTTTTCACTTACTTGAACTGATAGCCAGCACGGCAAGATGCTCATGGCATATCCCTGTGGGGCCAGACTAGGCAGGTTCACATTCCAGTTTCCCCACTTAGAACTGTGTGATCTGCACAAGTTAATAAATGTAAAAAGATCCAAGAAAGTGCCTGGCACATAATATTTTTAAATGTTAGATAATAATATTATATGTCTTTTAAAACTTTATAAACCTAGTTTTTAACTGCTGCATATTTATCTAACCCTCAATTTTAGATACCAAAATTTTTTTGAAAAAAATTTAAATACATTATTTCATAAAACAAAAACAAAACAAAAAAACCCATCTTTTTGCTTAAAGGCTTTTCCCCTATTCTGGGACATTTTCCTTAGAGAAATCAATTCTCTGAAGTGAGTTTGCTGGTAAAACGTATGACTGTTTTTAATGCATTACCACATTATTCTTGGAAGTTGGAACTGGAACATGCTGCAATTTTAGCCCTGTGGCCATCCCAGTATCTTTCAGAGTTGTTTTTCAGATGCCTTCTCTATTCATTATCTATGGCTGCATAATGGATTACCCCAAAACTGACCAGCTGGAAACTGCAAGCACTGATCCTCTCACCGTTTCTGTGGACGGGAGCGGCTTATCTGAGTGCCTCTAGCTCCCCGTGTGTCATGCGGTTGCAGGCAAGGTGTCAGCCGGAGGCTTGACTGAAGGCGGAGGATTCACTTTCAAGGTGGCTCAGTCACATGGCCATTGGCAAAGAGGCCTCAGTTTCTTGCCATGTGGCCTCACTGTTGGTCACCTTGGATGTTCTTGTGACATGGTAGCTGACGTCCCCCAGAGCCAGGTCAGAGAGTGATGAAGAGACGGGGGAGAAGGGTGGGTGGAAAAACACAGGGGAAGAAAGCAAAGAGGTAGGCTGCCATGTCTTGTGTGACCAAGCCTTGGAAGTCACACTCCTTTATTTCCACATCATTCTGTTGGTTACATCCATCAGGCCTGTGTAACGTACAGGGAGACTGAACAGAGGCAGAGGTGTGCATACAGGAGGTAAGGTCATTGAGAGTCATTTGGGAGCTGGCCGCCATGCTTTATTTTCATTTTATTGTCCATCTTCCCTGTAGGACAGGAAACTACAAGATAGATTGTCTTTGGTTTTGTTCTTCAAAGAACAGATTAGCCTCAAAGCTTGATCATCTTGCATATTCCTCAAATCTGTATAAACTCTATCAGGAGAACTAAGTCACTTTCTCAATTTAATTACAGATACCAGAAGCCAGTGGCAAATGTCCTAACTACCATTTTCATTGAAGTTAGGGATAAGACAAGGCTGTGTCTATCATCCTTGTTTTTCAGGCTTATTTTGGAGGTTCAGTCAATGCAGTAAAATAAAGAAAAAAGTGAGAGGTATAAATTTTAGGAAGGAAGATATGAACGTATCATTAATTGCAAGTAGTTATTTAGCTTAAAATCCAAATAAAAATGCCTAAAAATGTATCAGAATTAATAAGTAATGTATTTTGTTACAGGATGAACATAAAATCTATATCTAATGATAAGCAGGTAAGTGATGTCAGAGGAGGAAGCAGGGCAACCAGCTAGCTGCTCAGGGTCGAACCTTGCCCGGCAGACTCGACCAGATGAGGGAATTCAGTGTGGAGAAAGGCAGAAAGACTTCTGTGTAGACACCTGTTGTGTCCAGTGCAACACTATCAAGAACAGCAGGAGCACAGAAATGCCCATGTGTGGCCTGTTGGATGGAAGATGGGTCGGGCCCCCACATTCCCTCTGTGGATGCCAGTGAGAGCAGAGCCATTTCCTAGGGAGAGGACACACTGGCGGAGTAAGCCCAGAACCCCAGAAAGTAGGGCCGGAGGGAGCTGTGTCATTAAGAGAAAGGAGAAATCTTATCTCAAAATAAGCACAATGAATAGCAGCTGACCACTAACTTTTTTATTATAACACAGGAATGTCTCCTTAGTATTTTTATGTGTATTTTTATATAAAATATAATTTTAGATTTTAGATTTAAGTTGCTCTCCTATACAGAGTACATATAATTTTTGTTGAACGATTGTATTATAAATAAGATGGATCTGGGATTACATTAATAGGATCATGCTTTCTATATTTTGATAGTTATTTGTTATTCAGTAAGTCCTATCTTTTTCTAGTAAGGCCTATCTTTTTCTAAAAATTCTATTTGACCTTAAGTTAGATTACTTTAGCAGTATTTTCACAGAGGTAGTTGTTGAGATCTCAAAACCTAGAGAATACGATTTTTTTTTTTTTTAGATTTATGTATCTGGTTGTAAACTGGGAGTATCTGTAAATTACTGGGAACATCTCCAGTATCTCACAGGGTAGAGTAATCCTAACTGATACTTGAATTTATGTTCATTGACCAACATGCCTTCGTGTGTCAGAAGGTGAGAGCTGAAGCAGGGATCCTGAAATTAAGAAACTAATTTTTAATTCCCTGTGATGAACATGTTGCTTTTTGATGCACGAAGGGCATTTCAGTAGGGCTTATGGATAATCTCAAATAAAGCATATCTAGTACTTCTCAATTTTTAGAGCTTCGTCATACCATGTGATTTTAATTGTCAGCGATGAGATAAAGAATAAGTCAACTTAGACTAAGTTATAATTCGGGAGTATCTTTCAAAGCTGTTCCATGCACAGATACGGAATTGCTAAATATGCAGGACTGTCAGGATGCTTTTGCAAACATGGATAAGTTAGGAGAGAAGTACTGTTGACACAAATTTGTTAAATGATGTGGACATAACGGTTAAGATAACTTAAAAGCAATTCTTAAATCCTTAAAAAAAAAAAAAAATAATGGAGAGATTGAATCAAAGTGATGGACCGAGCATATTCATCCATCTCTCCTCTTGTCCCAAATACCTGAAAATGTCAGAAAATACATTTTTTTATATTCAGTTAGCCAACATATAGTACATCATTAGTTTTTGATGTAGTGTTCAATGATTCATTAGTTACGTATAACCCCAGTGCTCATCACAGAACGTGCCCTCCTCTGAAAATACATTTTTTAAAACTCCTATCGGCACTAGAAAATGTTAGCTCCAGCCCTCAGAAGGCAGGAAACAGAAGCATACTGAGTCTGAAACTGGACTGGAGGGTGCCACAACCCAGGACACTGGCAGGAGAAACTGCTCTTAATTTAAGAACAGGGGAATCTTAAGTTCTGAGTGAGTAATAGACTACCGAGAGTAGGGGAGGCCTGAAGGCAAATCTGTAACAGGAGTTAAAGAGCTGCCTTCCGGCAGCACTTAAATCCAGACCAGGAAAGCCCAGAGCTGTTTCCCAAAGAGAGGCATCACCTGCCTGGAGAGGGCAATGTAAGGAACTGAAGGAAAGTAGGGTAAGGCTTAAGGTTCCAGACCTTCACCCCAGATGGCAAAAAGAAAGAAAGAAGGAAACGAATGGTAGGTCTTCCCAAGAGGGATATAAAATAATTTCTTCTACTTCCAGAGTGAAGCACTCCATATTCCAGCAACTTGGAAGGTCCCAACCCTGCCAGGCCACCTTACTACCTTCTACCTAGTTTACAGGCCTCCCCCATTCCACAAAGCCCATTGCTGGCCCTCCCACTCAGGAAGAAACTGACCTTGGGGGTGGTAGAAACCAGCGCTACACTCATCAGTCTATTCTTTGAACTTGAATATCAAGAGATAGCCAGAGGTCCCTCAGACGAGGAGCAACAAGAGAAGTAAACAGAGGAATTTCCGGGAAAACAGGCAATTCAGAGAAAAAGAACTTTTAAGAACTGTCATTAGGGGCGCCTGGGCGGCTCAGTTGGTTAAGCGACTGCCTTCGGCTCAAGTCATGATCCTGGAGTCCTGGGATCGAGTCCCGCATCAGGCTCCCCGCTCAGCGGGGAGTCTGCTTCTCCCTCTGAGCCTCTTGTGCTCTCTGTCTCTCATTCTCTCTCTCTCAAATAAATAAAATCTTAAAAAAAAAAAAAAAAAAGAACTGTCATTAGGATCTGCAGAGAGATTTGAGAAGAACAATCTTACTTTTAAATGTTTTCTATTTATTTTATTTTTTTATGTTATTTTTTTAAGAGGGGTGTGAGAGAGAATCCAAAGCAGGCTCCCCACCCAGCACAGAGCCTGATGCAGGACTCCATTTCACGACCCCGAGATTATGAACTGAACCAAAATCAAGAGTCAGGCACTTAACCAACTGAGCCGCCGAGGCACCCGTTGAGAGGAACAATCTCAAGGAAGCTTCCTTGAAAATTAATAAAGGGATCACCAAAATTAAAAACCCATAAATGGTGTGAATGATAGAACCATTCCAATCCGTATCCAATATGTTCAAAGAGCAAATTACATCTGGAAAATGAAGTCATGGGAAAACAAGAACTATAATATGGAGCAAAAGTACAGAGATAAAAAAGGAAGAGCAAATGCAAGAGACGTGTAGGATTAGTCCAGGAAGTCTAACATCTATTTAATAGGAGTTCCCTGGAGAGAAGTCATAGGAAAGCAGACTCAAAACAAATCAATAATAAAAGTTGACTCATCTTTTCATCTGCAGTCCTAGCTACCTTCAAAATGCCAAGAAGAAGATGTCTGGGACCTCGATGGCATTCCCAGGCACACCACCATTCAGGAGGGAGGGCAAATCTCAAGTTCTTTTTCTCCCATAACTCAAAGGATACACCTTACAGATGCTGTTGAAGCAAAGTGAAAAGTAAATTTTAGAAGAAAATATGGGATGTATGAAACAGAGCAAATAAAAGTTAAACCTTTTAGGTAGAGTTAAATACCTGGTGACTTTAGTATATGTATTTTTATGTAAGAAGGGCTTGTTGGTGAGGGCTGCAAATACAAATTTATTGTACGTACTGTAAATATTGTGCTTATGTGATAAAAATGTATATAATATTTAAGTTAGGAAAGGATGAAGATGAAAAGGGAAACACCTAGAAGCAGAGAAAATAAAAACCACAATATAGGATAGCAGAAATAAGTCTAATAACCACAATTATAGCCACAATTGAATGGATTCAGTGCCCCTAGTAAAAACAAATGCCTATTTTAGACGAGTTATGAAAGGAAATCTAGTCATCTGAAGTTTGAGAAAACCGTGACCTAGAACAACTGAAAGAGAATGGATTGAAAAATATGTATTAGGCAAATACCAACAGTAAGCAAGTGTAGCAATGTTCGTGTCAGACGGAATGGAATTCAGGGTTTAAAAATAGCGCTCCAAAGCACAGAGGCATATTTGACACTTACAAAGGTAAAATTCACTGAGAAAATAGTGCCACCCTAAATAAAGAGATAAACTGAGGCAAGCTGAAATTAGCAGGAATTGAGTTTATTCGGAACTAGTGGAGGAAACGCATGCCATAACAGGCTGCAGGCGAGTCTGTGGGCAAAGAGTGCAAGATGGGGGGTCCAGCTGGCATCCAAGCGCTAAACTCACTGGCTTGAGGATGGGGAGACGTTGCTTGCTGGATGTTCATTGGTCAGAAGATAAATCTCAGTCTTCTGCAAATCAAGCGTTTATGGAAAATCTGTCGGTTCTCAAGTTCGTTCTTCTGAGGGAGCGTGCGTGAGAATCTCTATCTCATACCCTCTGGTTCCATTTTAAACCGAAATCCTTTCATGGTATATTACCGTCAGCCACTATGTATTATCAACATACTGTTGTTTTATAAAACCTCAACTTAACAGTAGGATAAGAACATATTTTTCTCATTCCAAATCTTGACACTTCTCTTAGAAGCTGATCCATCAAGTAGATACTATAGATAAGGGTGCAGAGGGAATGAGTGAAACTCTTAACCTTGATCCAAAGTAAATAGATATTAACTTTGTATTCCATAAACAGAGAAGCACGTTCTTTACAAATGCTAATGGGGTATTTGTGAGAAATGCAGATTTCTTGCCCCAAAGTTGTATTTTGCTGGTTGTACTTTCTTTTTGTTGTAAATGAACTTCTACTCTCAAGGTTCTGGGCCCCCTTTTAAAGGATTATAATTTTATATTGGGCTGGGGAGCACCCCAAATGGTTCTTGTCACAGAGGTAGTGGGTAGCTGGAAGATCTCATTATTTGTCTCATCAGTGAAGCATGGGGCAGGCTGCTGTTGAGGAACCTAGAAGAAGCCTCTCTGTTTCCTAGCCATCTCTTGCTCCCCCATCTTTGGGAATAGAGAAAGCGAGACCTCTGGATCGGTGTTGTCTTAGCCTTTTGGAAGCCAGGAGAGATGAGGCAAATTGACTAAGTCTTTGCCAACCCTGGCCCCCCAAAATCAACAGATTTCTGGTGGTCAAGCTCTTTTTAGTAGATACTGCTTTCCTGGCCTTGCGCTGGAGCAGCCTGAGGCTGTTCTCCAGGGTTTTAGCCAGCCTTACGCCAGAAGTCCTCCATCCACACAGAGACCCACAGTTACTGGAGAAGACTTTTCACCCATGTTACTGCCTGTGTGTCTCCCACTGTCCCTCGGACATGCCTGCTCACTGTCGCAAGGAGGATTTTACTACATGCCTAAAGCAGACAGCCTTGCTAAACTCTTTCTAAACCAGGAAGTAAAATGTAATGGGTGGTATGAACACAGTGGGTTTCTAAGCATTTTTCATGTTTCCTTCCATTATGTTGGAGGATAAATTCCTGGCTCAAAGTTAAAATAATTCCTCCAAGTTAATAGGAAATTCAGTATGACTTATCCAGTGAAGCATTGGATATAAAGTGAGCTTTGTCACATGCAAAAAATGTGATATATTTTATAAAAAACAGTTACTTGAGTGTTTATGAGGAGCTCAGTAAAGATGGAAGAGGAAGAGATGCAACTTATTAATATAAATGCAAACATGTACAGTGTAGATTTCCCCAGGCATGCGTGCGTGTACACACACACACACACACACACACACACACACACACACACACACAGTAACTTTAAAGCTGTCTGTTAGAAGGATGAGATGTACTTGTGAGCCAGACCACGTTGGTTTGGACAGAAATTCTTACAGAATTATTAAGCCTTAAAAAAAGCAAAGGAGATTTATGCATCTGCATTTGACCAATTTGGTTTGGAATAGGTTCATAATGGAAAAGTAATAAAACCATAAGAGACAGTGTCTTCTGAGTACAGTCTCGCTTTTAAAAAATCTAAACATGGGCTGCCCCATTTTGGATAAAATGACTGTAGAAAAATTTCCCATTGGTAATTTTGGGAGGGTTTTGTTGCTGTTGTTGTTCCTTTTTCATTGATTATCAGCCAGTACAAATTTTCAGCTTTCTGTCAAATATTTTTTCTGGAGATGTCAGTTTTAGGAAAAAGGAATCCTGAAGTATGATCTGTGGGAGTCTCCATCTCTGGTCACCCACCCCTCCCCGCCCCCGCACGCGCATACACACACACACAGTGTTTGCTTAGCCCTCAGTAAAGGCTTTTTCTGGTGTACCTGGAGAGGTTAGGCTTTGGTGGGTAGGGGGTGGTTCAGTGTGTGTGAGAAGGGACCTCATGGGACTGCCAGCAGCCACAGAAAAGTGTGAAGAGGAAACGCATAACAAACTTCACTTCTGAAAATCGGACCTAATAACTTTGCAAGTTTCTGATTTAGATGGGAAAAAGAAAAAAAAACAAAAACTTTCTCCGTTTGTTGCACTTGAAGTAGTGTTATTGATAAATAATTCCTTAAAACCATTAAGGAATACAGTCCTACACCGAAAGGGTTGGGTGCTTGGGGGACGGGGGAGGGGAGGAATGTCTGCACAGCCTCCATCACTGCAGACAAGGTAGTCATGGCTGTACCTCCCAGAGAGGACGGCAGAAGAGGCATTTGATTTCATCAGACTCTTAACTTTCTTTCCACGGCCAGCAGTTGCAGTTGAAAGCACAGTTATTTTTATATAGCGCGAATGTGACCAGACTGTGATGGTGGTGCCTCTCCTGCAGGTATGCCCGCGGCATCCTTAGTGACCCCTGCTGATGTTATCAAGACGCGATTACAGGTGGCTGCCCGGGCTGGCCAAACCACTTACAGCGGAGTGATGGACTGCTTCAGGAAAATACTGCGGGAAGAAGGCCCCAGAGCTCTGTGGAAAGGAGCTGGTGGTAGGGAAATAATTTGTTCTTAACTAAACCTTTCGGATCGGGTAAATTTTTTAAAAACCTAATTATAGCTGTTGTTTCCCCATTTCTTCAAAGCTCGTGTGTTTCGATCCTCCCCCCAATTTGGTGTAACTTTGCTGACATATGAATTGCTACAGCGATGGTTCTACGTTGACTTTGGAGGCGTGTAAGTATCCCGCTAAATCTGCAGCCAGGTCGCCACTCCTCCCGTACTCAGTCGCCCTGAAGAAGGGTACGTCACTCTAATTCTGCTGATGAAACAGACAAGATGCAGTAACCAGACTCATTCCCAAGGGGAACATACAACCAACTAGAATTCCACAACTCCTTTATATGATGCAAATTTCCACAAACTCTGTTATTTTTACCAAGGTAAAAAATGATAAAACAGATTCTCGCCCAATTTTCTCTTCTTTTAGGAAACCCATGGGATCAGAACCAGTTCCTAAATCCAGGATCATACTGCCTGCTCCCAATCCTGATCATGTTGGAGGCTACAGACTGGCAGTTGCGACATTTGCAGGGATTGAAAACAAATTTGGACTTTACCTACCTCTCTTCAAGCCACCAGCTTCTCCCTCAGCAGTGATCAGCTCAGGCCCGTAGGGGAAGCGCCACTGAGGGTAGAGAGCGCCTTGTCTCCCATGGAAACAGTGTTCCTCCTTTCCCTTCCATCTCTTGTTTAAATTCAAGTGGAGGTTTTTTATAAGGTGAAATCATTCATTTTCTGTGTGTTTTCTTAACCAGATCATTGTGAAATTATTCATAATTATTCTTTGGGCCTCTGCTCACGAACCTGTGTTTGTATCTGGCATTTCCTGGGATTTGATCAACACTAACACGTTTGGGGAAAGGAACAAGTCTGAATTGAAGTTAGAGCTACTCTCCTTGGATTAGGATTATAGTCCCAAAGAGACTACGGAAAGGCAATCATGGTGCTCAGAGCAAAGTGTTTCATGCATGTTTCAACTGGTAGGAGGCTGGGTGCATATTTATCACTATAAAAAACACTGGAAGAATTGAAAAAAATGATCAGAAATAGCCAGCCTGGCTTCAGATTTTAAACATGTACTAATTCTCTTTCTGGATTATATTATGACGCTTTTATGTGAAACTTTTTTTTTTTTTTTTTGGTAATGAAAACCACATTGAAGATGTTTCATAATCATACTGTTAGTGGTACCAAGACTCTTAGAGAGAAGTCTTTGTATTTTAGGGAAGTACTTTAGGTATTCTATCCAGTAGACAGAGAACCCCAGAGATGCAGCACCTCTCTGGGATGTGCTAATTTTGGATCATGGCTCATCTGATGACACGTGCTGGCCACTGCCTGTTACAGCGGACGCTGTGGGAGCACGTGCCCCCAGCACTGGTGCCTGCCTCCATGCCCTCCCGGCCCTCCCGTCGTCGACACCTATCGCTTTTAAAGTCCCATTTATTTTGAATCATGTGAGACAAATATATTCTAATACACGTTTTTATTTAATTTGTGGTGCCTTGTGTAATGGTCAGAAGGCTCAAGTGTTTGTGATGGAGGAAATAAACTATTTTTAAAGCTGTTGAATTGTTTGCTCTCGTGTATGTCAGGTGGTGAATGATTACAATAATTGTCATTATTGGATTCTGTATGTTTCATTTTCAGGGTGCTTTTATCCCTATTGGCATGGCTATATCCTTCTGGCCCTTCAAGGTCATGTGTACCTGATTTTCAGGGTGTTGACATTCAGAGTGAGTAAAAGAAATGATATTTAACCCTAGATAAGCAAGGAGCCCAGAGCATGGACACTTCTCCTGTAGTCATCCCCAGTGCTTTGGGCAGTTTCTTACCGTGAGAATTTATACAGATTTTCATTTTATAGTGTGAAGTTTCACTGGAAGGTGGGCATGAAAACTGGTATGAAATGGCAGTTGTGTTTTCTAATCTTCTCTGATTCTTCCTCATACGAAAACCAGATGTCACTGTATCTAACATTTGGTGGTATTTGGCCAACACTATCATTTGGGGAACGAAGCTAGTCTTGAACAGAATTTAGGGCTTTTGGACTTTACTTAGACTCTGGCGAGGCTACTGAGAACTTATGAGCGGTCAGTCTGAACTTTCTGAATCTCCACAACGTCCCTCCAGGAGAGACAGCCACTTTGCAGTCTTGGTCCGACTTTGAGAGTCAACGGGTTGACATTCGGAGTTACTGTTCAAAACTGAGGGGCATCAAAACAAAACAAAATCAGGGAGCATCAACACCATCCATGAGTCTGATTTTTTTTTTTCTTAAGTGAACAAAAGCTTTGTTAGTTTCACCAGAAACAGGACAAAGATAGATGTGGCTCCCTTCATGGTTTCGCAAAACCAAAGCAAAAACCACTCCATCTACCCATCCTTAGCCCCAGTCGCTGCTCAGTGTGATACATGATAAATACTTACATTTTAATCTCAAAGACCAGTCACAAAACTCCAAATAATGTCTTAGAAATTTGGATAGTGTTGCAATAACAAATCACTCAAGCTCTGGTATTTTGAACGTGGACAGAAGTCCCTCTGTAAATTTCTGCATTCCTTTTTCTTCACTTGCTGGAATTTTGTGGGAGATCAGATTTTCATACTCACAACAGTGACCCAAATCTCAGAAAAGGTGCATTGCCCTGCCTGCTTCTTCAAGAGCCATTGCTATATCTGCCTGCCCCTGAGGGTGATTCTCTTCAGTAAAGAGAAACCAGAGGAACCAGGAAGCCAAAGGAGATGGAGCCCCGGGGCCGTGTTTCTTTAAAATCCTTGGCTGCTTCTGTTCAGGATAGGCTGTGACTTGAGACACTTTGAAGGAGGCCTAATTTCCATCTGAGTTCTGCTCAGTGGGTGGTGTGACTGTGACATCCTTGAATAGGACTGCAATCACTGTGTGGTGAAAACCACGTCAAATTTGTTCTGGGTTTTCCTTCTTCCTGAAGTGACAGCGCAGGACGTCATCGGCAGGGCCGTGGCTGTTGTTCTCGCAGCCCGGCCTTTCCCTCCGTAATGCTGAGGAACGGGAAGCTGTGGAATGCCCACGCTGCCTGCCCACGGGGGGGTGGGTGGAGCAGCCTCCGCCTGCTGTGCCGCCCGGTCAGCTGAGGAGTCTTCCAGCTCTGCCCTTGGTCCACCTCCTGTTGCTTAGGGGGTCGGGGCAGAGGCCTGATTTTTGTAGCAGCTTTATTTTTTCAAGGAGGGGAAAAAATGTGAAGCTGACCACAAAGTGAACACACTGATTCTTGGGTTCCAGTCGTGGCTGGGTTTCTTGAGGCTGGGTGGCATGCTGTCGCCAAGCTCATGCTACACCTCATAACCCACAACCATTTGCTGAGCTCCCTGGGGTCGCCTTAATCCCAGCAGCCAGGGTTGCACAGGGGAAAATAAGAATTCTGGCACAGAAAGGAGTCATTTAAGTGCTTATTGCATTTCAAGCTTCAGTTTTTACTTAGCTAAAATATTTACCATTGCTGGAAAACAATGTTTAAAATTTTGTGCTTATATGTTATTTAATGGTGTGGCCTATGTAAACCTCAGGATGCTTACATTTTGACAGTCTTCTGGAAATGTTTAACAGCACATAACTCACTGAGCAGGGAATAAAAGCAGGAAGAAATTGGGCTTGAAACTGTTTGTAACCCCGTCCCACTAGGTCTTCAGCATGTCACGTTGGAATTCTTCAGGTAGACGGAGGGAGGTCTCCAGCAGTGGCATTTGATGAGTTCTGTCTTGTGGCCCCATTTATCAACCTTGTCGATAACCCTCTCTCAAAGTCATCGTGTGCCTTTTCACCGCAGAAGCCATTCTTTGGGGGATGAATTTGTATCTTTGCCACTGAGCAAGAGCCCATTTTAAATTCAGGGTAATCAAATGCTTTCAGGATGTGGATTTTTCTGAAGATTTTTTTTTTAAAGACCCATTCACTGGTAAGAGCAGTGAAATGTTCTTTCCACAGATGGTACTGCCCACAGAGGGGGTGTGCCTTTTGTTTTACCTTTTGGGAATAACCCAGCCCTCACCAAGGAGGAGTTCTATTTTCAATGTTAGGAAGACCACAGGGGGTCCACTGCCTCTTTTCCAAGGCCAGAGGCAGCTGAAAGCATTGTACCTCTGTCTTAAAACCCTTAGCAGTCTTTAGTTTGAAAGCCTGGCCTGGGCTGTAATGAGGATAGGGACTGAGGCTTTTGTTCAGAGTTCCACAGTGCCTGGAAGTTAGTAGGCTCTTGGTTATTATTTTGAAGGATGGGTGAATGGATTTTTGAGAAATCCGTTTTTTTATCCCCCCCCCCCACACACACACAATGAGCAATCGCTATTATTTTCCTACTTTACAAGCCTTTTCCATTGCTGGAGTTAAAACCATAACTGAAAACGATCACGGTCTTCTGTATTGATCACATACTTTAGAAGGGGTAAATATGTCTTTTATTAAAGCTACAGCTGTTTAAAATTGGTGTTAATGACTTAAATTGACTCAGGAACTGTCATATAAACAATATTTAAAGTTCCTGATCATTGTTAAAAATAAAGCTTTAAAAAATCATATCTTTTGAGATTAGTGCTGCATTGGAGTTGAGATAGGTCATTAAAATAGTTTTTCTCATCAATGAATATAATTTATAACTCATTCTCTCTGTTTCTCTCACTGCCTGATGTTTATGTGTCCATAGGAGCACAGTGGCAAGTTTTCCTTTAGAAGCTGCTGAGGACAACGGGAACTCTCTTTCAAAAGGGTTTGTTTTTAGCTAATGCATTAATTGACTCCAAAAAAGAGTCCAAATGGAACACTCTGCTTTCATCTGCTGGGGTAACCTAATAAAATAATGTTTGTTTTTAGATTGCCGGCTGTTAAGGGGGTTTTGCTCAAGGCAAAACCACAGTCCCCTCGAATAACTTCAGAAGGAAAGTTAAGAAGACACACTAATTGTGCCTGTCTGAGGCTGGCTTCTTCCAGGTCAGAGGCACACCCCCAGCACACTGCTCTGGCCACCGGGGCTCGGTGCCCACCACCACTTTGATTCCATTAGCCAGGGCCCCTGCCCCTTTGCAGGATGCTTGATTTGGCAGTGGATCAGTTCTAAGGTGACTTTAAAATAGACTCAAGTTCTCAGAACAGACTTGTGCAAGCATACCATAGTCTGTCCTGTATGGTGGGGAGAAGGAAATTCAGCTTAAAGAAAACATTTTTCCCTATCTCTTATCACCTCCCTCCGCCTCTTGCTCTTGCTCTGGTCTTGTTGAGCTGCTCTCAAAAGAAAAAGAAGGGCAAGTCACTCTGCCTCCACCATGGAGTTCTTTGGCTACTGAGAACTCATTAAATATGAGGTATTACATGCCAGGCATGATCTCATTAAATCCTCCCCACAGCCCTTAAAGTCGGTACTGTTCTTTTTCCTGTGCTACAGTTGAGGAAACCCAAGACTCGCAGAGGCGCAGTGTTTTGCTCGTGGCCTCTCAGCAAATGAGAGGGCTAGGATTTGAATCTAGGTCTCCTGACAGCCCAAGCCCTGTTCTTTACCTTCAAGGGTTTCTTAACAAAACTCAGTCCAGGAAATTCTTATGACAGTCTTTGCCCAGAATTTCTTATTGTCCCCAGTTCTCAGAA